GGCCGATCAGTGCACTGCCAAAGATATATATATTGGACAGGCTGTGAGTTTTAATACAGTTATTTTTATTAACACAAGATTTTAGCTTGTGCTGGTGGTCAGTGGAACTTTGCCCCCTTGTGTTGATGGTCAACTGAACTTTGCCCCCTTGTGCTGGTGGTCAGTGCAAGCTCTGCTATTGTGATTTTCTTTTAACCGGTTGCCGATCAGTCACTGTACATATACTGCGACAGGGCAGCACCGCTGCACAAAATCACGTATATATACGTGATATTGGATATCGGGTAGGGGACACGTGTGACCGCCCTACCCACGTTGCCGATCGCAGCCGCGGGTGTCAATCACCGGGTCCCGGCGATTGCCGGCAACCACTGACACGGAGCACAGCTGCATTGTTTTCAATGCAGCTCTGCTCCCTGTCAATTTCCAGCACACTGTTCCGGAGAGAGGAGTTCAGCTTTCCGGGACAGTGTGTTCCTGTGAAGCACATACCTCCGCCCCCTAGTAAAAGACTCCCCTCACACAGTTAACCCTTTGATTGCCTAAAAATGTTAACCCCCTTCCTCTCCAGTGCCATTAGTACAGTGTCAGTGCTTTTTTTTGCACTGATCACTGTATGGTGTCACTGCGGATGTCAGTGACCCCAAGTCAGTTGGCCCCCAGTGTCAGAATGTCCGCCGCAGTCCCACCATAAGTCGCTGTTCACAGCCATTATTTGTATAAAAAAAAAATTAAAATTCCAGTATATATACCGCCATTTGTAAACGCTATAACTTTCATGTAAACCAATTAATTTACACGTATTGGGATTTTTTTTTTTTTTTTTTTTTTTTTTAGCACAGACATGTCGCAGAATACATTTTGGCCTAAATTTATGACCAATTTTTATTTTTTTTTTTACTGGACATGTTTAATAGCAAAAAGTCCAAAATATTTTTTTTTTTTTCCTCAAAATTTCGGTCTTTTTTTGCTTATAGCGCAAAAAATAAAAACAGCACAGGCGATCAAATATCACCGAAAGAAAGCTCAATTCAGGGAAAAAAAAAAACAACAAATCTGATTTGGGTGCAGCATTGAATGACCACGCAATTGTCAGTTAAAGTAACCCCAGCGCCGTAATGCAAAATGGTCTGGTCATGAAGGGGGGTAAATCCTCAGGAGGGCAAGTGGCTAATATTGTTAAAGACGTTAATATTTATTTTTGTAACTTTATTCTGCATAAATCATATAACAGTGTCATTTCATGAGATAATTTACAAAGGCGTGCTTAGGGCCAGAATTAGGGGCGGGGCAACTGGTGGCGAGTAACACTTAAGGCCTGGCTAGTAGCTCAGGACTTGAAATTTTGAGCCCTGATTAGGACCCTTAGAAATTTCTGAAATATGATGGCATCTTCCCCATTACTTTGCTAACCCTTTGTGGTGTCACACACTTTACATATGGTATGTATTTACTTCTTATATAGATTTATCTTTATATCAGAGGGATATATGAAAAAGAGTGCCATATATATATATCTATATGGTGTTTGTGGCTCTCCGTATCTGGTAACTTGTTGTAAGCCTTGTGGGTTTTTTTGTAACAGGTAACACATGTGCTAAAAATATCCAAATGATGTGTATGTGTATTACTGGTTTTTATTATTACTCAAATTGGCTCTTTTTGTAATCTTAGAAAAATGTATGCCAGACCTCTGAGGAAGCAGGCTTGTCCTGTGAAACCAGTCAGAGATGACTGCTTAAAGCCCTTCCCCATAATTACTGTGGGATACAACTGTGAATTTCTGGCATATTATATGAGTGTGTGGTTTTTAACAATATCTCAATGTTTGTTTGTTTTGAATTTCTTCTGGCCGAGGTCCAATTAGGGTGTGCCCATCAGTGTGCCCCGTTACATTAGGTGTCGCCATCAGAGTGCAACTTTACATCATGTATTCCCATCACATCAGGTGTACCCATCAGAGTGTTCCTTTACATCAGGTATCCCCATCACAGTGCCACCTTACATCAGGTATTCCCGTCAGAGTGCCCTCTTACACTCAAAGTACAAGCACGGAGCAGGAGCCGAACAGACAGCAAGCTGCAAGGGGCAGGACGCACACGTGATGTCATGTTGCCATGACGACCGCCCTCCTCAGTAGCGGATCTGTCATTGTGGGCTGAAGGTCCAGAAGGGAGCGCTGCTGGGGCCATTTCCGGACCGCGGTTCGCCATTTAGTGACCGCTGGTCTAGTGTATAAATCCAGCAAAGATTTTTTTTTCTAACCTTAGAGAGGGGAAGGGTTAAAACCCTATAAAAAAAAAAAAAGTTAAAATAAATAAATTCCCTCATATGAAGGGAATTCCCACCTGGCACTGGTTACTCACATTTTTTTTCCAATGACCACTTCATTTCCTCCTGCTGTCTATTCTAATGATAGTAGTCACTGGGCCAGAAATAGAGAATAAACCTGGCTAGTATGGCCCTTCACATCATCACAAGCTGCCAGCTATTACGAGAACTTTAAAAAAATTTGCTGCCGGTGTCAAAAAGCAGAATGGATATAGCTGTATTTCTGCTGAACCCTGTAGAAGAAAACAGGCTTCCTACTTGCCTAGTAACTGGGCTTCCCTCACAGCAAACAAGCAACATTCAGCCCCCTTGCCTCTGTGCATCAATCCATCACTGCCACCCTCCTTTCTATGCTTGTTAGTCACAACTTTGTTCCCTTGCTAGAAGGGTGGTCACCGGGGCAAGCTGTCAACCACATTGCTTGGCAGAACACATCAAAATAACCCAGTGCTCCATGCACTAGGTCTCCTGGGGGATTCCATTATAATTTAGAATATTTAGTGAGACTTTCCTGCCTGCCCTTGCATCCCTTTAAAAAGTTCTGAAAGCTGGAGGAGGATGGGAAAGACCAGCTGATCATGTGATAAGTGATTAGCTGTCACAGTGGTCACATGATCAGGAGCCGATCCCACTGGTCACTGACCATTAGCAGGGAAGAAATGTCTTTCATAGCTCAGTCCCTGTTCCGGGAGTGTGCATTGAGCTCACTTGCAGCACAGAAATATCAGCCGCACAGCAAACCATATGTGAATGTTAAAACCCACCCTGTTGTCTCCACATGTGATAGGCAGTCGTAACAGAGTTAATGATTTATTTACTACCAGTTAAGAATATGTGAATAGTCTGGGAACAGCTCTACTTTCAGGGGGAAAAAAAAATTTACACACACACATATATATATATATATATATATATATATATATATATATACACATATACAGTTGTGTTCAAAATAATAGCAGTGTGTTGAAAAAAGTGAATAAAGCTCCTTCTAATAGCTTTTATTTCCATACACAAATGCATTGGGAACACTACACATTCTATTCCAAATCAAAAAATGAAGAAAATCACAAATATATCAAATTTGTGTTGTTCCTCTAAAAAAATTGAAGAAAAGTGAATATTAGACTGTTCAAAAAAAATAGCAGTGTTTGTATTCTTCTTTACAAACTCAAACATTCACTATATAAACTGAAAAATGTTTGAAGATTTTGCTTTCCTTTGAATCACTTAATGAATATTTAGTTGTATAAGCACTGTTTCTGAGAACTGCTGAACATCTGTGTTGCATGGAGTCAACCAACTTCTGGCACCTGTGAACAGGTATTCCAGCCCAGGATGATTGGACTACATTCCACAGTTCTTCTCGATTTCTTGGTTTTGCCTCAGAAACTGCATTTTTTACGTCACCCCACAAGTTTTCTATTGGATTAAGTTCCGGGAATTGGGCTGGTCACTCCATAACGTCAATCTTGTTGGTCTGGAACCAAGAAGTGGCACCTTTACTGGTGTGTTTGGGGTCGTTGTCCTGTTGGAACACCCATTTCAAGGGCATTTCCTCTTCAGCATAAGGCAGCATGACCTCTTCAAGTATTCTGATGTATTCAAACTGATCCATGATCCCTGGTATGCGATAAATAGGCCCAACACCGTAGTATGAGAAACATCCCCATATCATGATGCTTGCGCAACCATGCTTCACTGTCTTTACAGTGTACTGAGGCTTGAATTCAGTGTTTGGGGGTCGTCTGACAAACTGTCTCCGGCCACTAGACACAAAAAGATCTTACTTTCATCAGTCCACAAAATGTTGCGCCATTTCTCTTTAGGCCAGTCAATGTGCTTTTTGGCAAATTGTAACCTCTTCAGCACGTCTTTTTTTCAACAGTGGGACTTTGCGGGGGCTTCTTGCAGATAACTTGGCTTCACATAGGCGTCTTCTAGTTGTAACAGTACTCACAGGTAACTTTAGACCTGCTTTCATCTTCCTGGAGCTGACTGTTGGCTGAGTCCTTGCCATTTTGGCTATTCTTCTATCCATTCGAATGGTAGTTTTTCGCTTTCTTCTACGTCTTTCATGTTTTGGTTGCCGTTTAAAGAATTTGCGATCATTTTAGCTGAGCAGCCTATCATTTTCTGCACTTCTTTATATGTTTTCCTCTCTCCAATCAACTTTTTAATCAAGGTGCGCTGTTCTTCTAAACAATGTCTGGAACGACCCATTTTCCTCAGAATTTCAGAGAGAAGTGCACTGTAACTAGCATGTACAACATTTGCTGCCTTCCTTCCTTAAATAAGGGTAATAATTGCCACCTGTTTTTCAAAGAATGAACGACCTCACTAATAGAACTCCACACTGCTATTATTTTGAACATGCCCCTTTCAATTAGTGATTCGATTACACAGAATCAGCAGCATGCATGTCATGACTGTTGGGTCTGTTAGATTTCTATTACGCTACTACACCTGCTAGTAAATTATTTGCCATGTAGAAATATTATTTCTACCAAAAACAGTGATCAGGTTAGTGATGTCTGACTGCTATTATTTTGAACACAACTGTACATACACACACACACACACACACATATATATATTTTCAGACATGCATTTGTTGTGTAAATATGCAAATACGTTTAACTGTTACAAGCCTAGTTATGCATACTTACTGCTAGAAGTTTATCTCCTATTTGAAGTTTTCCATCTTTATGTGCTGCACCTCCTTCAATTATTTTAGTCACATAAATACTGTTGTCACCAGGGATGTGTTGGTTTCCAACGCCGCCAGCAATGCTGAAGCCAAGACCTGTTAGAGACAACATTTTTACATGGAATTAAGACAAAACCAATCTTTTGAGAAATTCAGTTTTACTGAATTTCTAGAACCACAACACATCACTAGAGCAAAACCCAGCCATGCATGGACCAAAATTTACCTGGTTCAGCAGGAAACAGCCAAATTTAAACCTATGTGTGGGCAGGGAGGCTGTACAGAAGTCAATCGACCTCTGTGCAACTGTCCTGTCACATTTCCCCTGCTAGATCAGCATTGCAGGCTATAGTCTGCAATGCTGATCAATGTTTTCTGGCGGTGGGAAAATCTACCCGCTGTCAGAATACAATAACTCAAGTGTGTGGATAGAGGAATAAAGTCTTTTTCGTTCAACCCAATAAAAAAATTACTCATCTATGGGCTGCCTATGTGGAGCAGACAGTTCTGCTTTTTTTTTTTTTTTTTTTTTTTTAAACATGGGCAATTTTCAAAATTTGGTCAAAAAGAAAAAAAACAAAAAAGAATACTGACGACAAGTGCAATTTACTGTAGGAAGAAGCAAGATTTTTGATTTGCCTGGAAAATATTTTTTCTTGGAGTACTTTAGGACACAGAAGTGTTCATACTTAGACTACTAGTTTATGACGCACCTTGAGGTGATTGGACACTTGCAAAAAAGCAAAAAACTTGGCACTGCCCAGCAGGATGTTACATTGACCTAGCAAGGCCATGGCTGTAAGACACAGACCTAACCACATCCAAGCTTAGGAGAGCAATCTCCAGGACGTTTTGGAGCCTGACAAAAGGAAGACCACACTTTGTCCTGATTCAAATGAAAAACAGAGACCCCCCTGACAAGGAAGATATAATAAAGAAAAGGCAGGAGCTTGACAGAGGGGAAAGTGTAAACCCAATTGAATGGATTTCAGAGTGACAGGGGCATCTAAAGAGAAGGCCCAAAGATCCTTGGATCTGGACACTGAACAGACAAGGAAGTCTAAGACCCCTCCCCGTCTGACAAGTTGGTATCCATCATCTGTACTTTCCACATCACAGAAGGGGATTTTGCCTACTTTAGCACCAGACTGGATAGCCACCATTCCAAAGATAACCTGATTTTGGTGTTCAGAAACAGGGAGATAAAAGGACAGAGTCCCCTTCTCTCAGGATGCCAAGTTGCAACAGTCTGAATGAAACTGCCTGTACTGGAATGCTTTGAAGAAGGCTACCATCAACACCAGCACCCTCAAGCAGGGGCAAATGGAAGAGCGATCCAGGGAACTCAGCTACCACACCTTGGAATGAAGGTTAGGGAAGGAAAACTTGTGTGTCCACAAAAAAAATGTATACAGCTGCTACAATAGCTCCATGATTGACTTCTTGAGCTTCATTAGATGAAGTCTTGCAGGACTTGTATTATCTACTGCACATTACTTCTGCAGGTTCAGATTGGTCAGATATCCAAGCAAGATCCGCTGGCTTGCAGAAAAGCCAAACCTGAAGGCAGATCCTTTATAAATACTCCCGTGGCCATGGTTAGGGCAAGGGGCAGAGGACAAACTGAGAATTGAGAAGCAAAGGTCGCACTAATGAAGCAGATATATTAGGGATGTGGAGGTAGTCACCAAGCCCAGAAAATTCCTCAAATGGAAGAAAGCGATCACTGACCTTAAAGATTCCATACAGAACTTTTGAACATGTAAGAACTTATTCAAGTGCTTCAGGACCAGATTGGGACACACACTGCCATTTAACTTGCAAGCCAAGAACAGGTTGAAATAGAAACCTTGAAAAATGTCCAGATCTGGAACAGAGACAATGAAACCCGGACAGTCCAACCAGTTCAGAGCAGCAAACTAGGCTTCTCTTGTCCGGTGAAGTATGCATGTTTAATGACATGAAGCATGAAGGCGAGATGCAAAACTCCTGGTTGTAGCCTCTGAACACAATGCTTCTAACCTATAGATCAGATATCTCATATTTACACAGCTGTGAAGAGCCCTCCCACTCACAGAAGTGGGAGCACAGCTTCACTGGAAAGGTAGTTTGTTGCCCATCTTGGCGGGCTTGGGCATGAAAAGAAGTTTTATGTTTTGAATCCCCCCCAAACTCCTTTTGGTTCCACACGAAGGTGGCTTTTTTGCGTTGTGAGATTCTGTTGCTTCTTTAGAAGAATGCTGTTTCCCCCATTGATTTACTTGGATAAAGAGCAATCAGAGCATTGCAAACGAGGCATTAAGCCTCAAAAGAAAGCTCTGCAGCAGCTTTTCATAGGGGAGCTAAGTTGACTTAAGCCCCAGGAAACAGATGACAGAATCTCCCAGGTCATCCATGCAGAAGTACAAGTTTTCAGAGAGAAGCTGCATCTGCTGCCTGGCTGATAAACCAGAATTAAATACTCAAGGTCCCTTAGCCATACACTTTGCCCACACCAGCCATATCTGACAAACCCAGAGGGTTGCATGGCCGCATTAGCCAGATAAAAGGATGCATTAAAAAGGGGCTCATATTTTGTACGCAGGGTTCTTAAACACCACTATAACGTCCACCTGTACCATAACTGTCTTAAGTAAATAAGACACCACTGGGTCCACAGCATGCACTGCCCACTTTTTCTTCCATTGTGAACTGTTGTGTGAACCATTTTTGGGGCGCAACTACATTGCAAGGATAGACCTAGTCCTAGTAAAGGCCCTCTTCAGTAAGAAAAGGCAACAGAAAGGACTTAGTTGGTTTGGGCACTTTCCAAGACCCCCAACTCTGATATCTTAGGCTCAGAAGGCTGGTTCTCACCTGCTTGGGAATGGCTCCATGTAGACCACCAAAATAGAAACAATTAACATGTCTGGGCATCCTCACTGGAGGATTTCCTTGGATCCTGACTCCTCCACTTCCTTCTCATCCAACCCAAGATAGGGTAGTAGAGGAAAAAAAATCAGCAGGTATCTCCCATGTGGACTGAGACCTAAGGCCTCTTACAGTCTCCACAAATATTTAAGCTGGGTATATATACTTTAATTTTATTCAGCCGGCAGGCAGGAGGAAAAAAAAAAAAAAAAAAAAAGGTTTTCCCAAGATGTCCCTTCGACAGATGTCGATCAAATGACAGCCATACATTTATTGGAATTAGGCCGGCCCTTGCTGAACCCTCCAAATTTCAGTCAGTGTATAACTAGTATAATGGATACCCACCAGCAGTTTCAACAGTTGAAAAGGCAGCAGAAAATTCCCCATTGGATATGAAGGTCCTTAGTTCCCTCGGTCCCAAACCCCCTTACTGCCAGAATCCACACTTGACAGGGTTACAAGGGGGGAACATTACTCAGGATCCTAGTCTTAGCACCAAGAAGAAGCAGGAGGCCTTATCAAGTCCTATCACTTGGAGGGTTTGGGGTCCCTAGTCATGTTAGCCTGTGCTGTATAGGAGCTTCAGCAATTATGTCCTGCTTACCTGGTGTCCTAAGGGAGAAGGGCCGAATTCCAAGATGGCCACTAGCCATGCATGGGCAGCAGCATAGGCAGGAGGGTCACACGTGCACAGTGGTGCCACTGGGCTGTGTCTGCAGAGAAGACAGGCAGTCTTCAAGCCACTCAAGATTCTGTGCATCCAAACAGGGCAACTTGGCACCATGTTGCACCTTAAATATGGGTGTAACATGGTAAAAGGTAGAGTAAGCTTTTAAAACTTGACCTGAAAGATGAAATTCAGAGAGTCACTTGGTTAACTTGGCTCTCTACAGCATCAAATAGATACCTTCCTTTTCTTAACCCACATTGAGGGGGGGATGTATGTTTACCTAGCACTGTTATGTAAATCACATGCCAAATTTTTCCTTCAGCTCTTGGCACTGAATAGAGAATGGGAGGACAAGAATTTGCCACATTGGCATGGAGGATCAAAAAAAACTCTATTGATGTGCCTTGAATGGGCAACAAGTCACTCTAAGAGCAAAATATAGGGTTCAGTTAAACTGTAAATTAACAAAGCACTCCTTAAAGAGGACTAACACCTTAACCCAACCACTAACAGTGAAATAACTTCTAACCTGCCTTCTCTTCTAAGAAAGAATTAGGCCAATTAGCTGGTTTAGGTCCCAACCTCCCAGTACTTGCAGCAAAATTATGCAGCACTAGGCTCTGGCAACCAAATGGATTTGAAAAAATGTAAGGCATCCAATCGGCAGCTAAGATAATCAAATCAAGGAAGCAGAAATGATGTGCATTAGCACTAGTGACTGCATTGGCAACGTTTCCAAAATACACTTTATTGCCAAAAGTATTGGGACGCCTGCCTTTACATGCACATGAACTTTAATGGCTTCCCAGTGTTAGTCTGTAGGGTTCAATATTGAGTTGGCCCACTCTTTGCAGGTATCACTGCTTCAACTCTTCTGGGAAGGCTGTCCACAAGGTTTAGGAGTGTGTCTATGAGACTGTTTGACCATTCTTTCAGAAGCTCATTTGTGAGGTCATGCGTTGATGTCGAATGGGAAGGCCTGGCTCGCAATCTCCGCTCTAATTCATCCCAAAATTGTTTTATCGGGTTGAGGTTAGGATACTGTGCAGGCCAGTCAAGTTCCTCCACCCCAAACTTGCTCATCCATGTCTTTATGAACCTTACTTTGTGTACTAGTGCGTAGTCATGTTGGAACAGGAAGGGGCTATCACCAAACTGTTCCCACAAAGTTGGGAGCATGAAATTGTCTTGGTATGCTGATGCCTTAGGAGTTCTCTACATTGCAACTACTGTAAGGGGCCAAGCCCAACCCCTGAAAAACAATCCCACAACATAATCCCCCCCCCCCCACCAAACTGTACACTTGACACAATGCAGTCAGGCAAGTACCGTTCTCCTGGCAACTGCCAAACCCAGACAAATCCATCGGATTGTCAAACAGAGAAGCGTGATTGGTCACTCCAGAGAACACATCTCCACTGCTCTAGAGTCGAGTGTCGGAGTGCTTTATACCACTGCATCCGTCGCTTTGCATTGCACTTGGTGATGTAAGGCTGGGATGCAGCAGCTCGGCCATGGAAACCCATTCCATGAAGCTCTCTACGCACTGTTTTGCTAATCAGAAGGCCACACGAAGCTTGGAGGTCTTTAACTAATGACTCTGCAGTCAGTGGATGACTTCTGTGCACTGTATGCTTTAGCATACACTACACTGACCCCCGCTGTCATTTTATGTGGTCTACCACTTGATGGCTGAATTGCTATGGTTCCCAGTTGCTTCCACTTTGTTATAATACAACAGTTGACCGTGGAATATTTAGTAGCAAGGAAATCTCACGGATAGACTTATTGCACAGCTGGCAGTCTATCACGGTACCACGCTTTAATTCACTAAGCTCCTGAGAGTGACCCATTCTTTCACAAATGTTTGTAGAAGCAGTCTGCATGCCTAGGTGCTTAATTTTTTACACCTGTGGCCATGGAGGTGATTGGAACACCTGAATCCAGTGATTTTGAGGGGTGTACCAATAATTTTGGCACTATAGTGTATATCTCCCCTATTGTTTCTTCAGAGCAATCGTTACATTTCTGCTATAGGCCAAAAAGAAGAAAAAAAAATTTACGCAAAAGCACTTTTCTTACTTTGATCAGAGCTTTAGGGAACTTGCACATGGTACCGATATTTCAACATCAATATTCCTAGCCAATATTTCTAGTGTTATTTTCACGCATATTTGCATGCATGTACGTACACAAGCAAAAAAGTTCTAGCTCTCAGAATAGAATTTTAACCACTTCAAATGAAAATTTTACGCATGTAGAAGACTGACCGGCAACTTGGATTTATTTTTTTACTCATCTACACGCAGCGCATGCTTAACACGTCTGTGTGCAGGGACATTGAAAAAATAGGCAACATTTAGATGGGGAAAAAAAAAAAACTGTATGCTCAAAAATTCTGTGTTTTTAGGCAGCAGTGAGCAAGAGGATCAAAAAAAAAAAAAAAAATTAGGATTCTGGTTGAATGCATCGCAAAATTTACAAATGAAATAAATGCTTTATTAAATATTTACACTAGCGCCTAAACTCGTGAGCTTTACACACCTGTTTCAGGCACCTGGGAGGCACAGTTGCAGTGTACAGCCCCACTGTCAGTAGCATGTCAATGTTTATGACAGCTGGATAGACCAAGTGATACTTGTGTTTAGGGACATATGAGGTGATTGCAGGATTTTTGCATTCTGAGCACAAGTCCCTAAGCACAAATATCACTCAGTACAGCACCCAGTCACCATGCTCTGTGTCCTTCTGCATGTTCTGAGGACAAGGCATACAACACATGCCTTGAGTGCTTAAAAAAAAATAAAAAATTAGGGATGCACTGAATATTTGGCGGCCGAAACATCTGCCACATACATACAGCCCCATCTGAAAAAAATGTGGCCGATATGGATGCTGATACAGGGGGCTGTGTGTACTGCAGATGTGGGGATGGGGCCCTTTAACCACTTGACAACTGCACTATAGCTGAATGACAGCTACAGCGTGGTTGTCCAGTTCTAGGAGGATGTCATATGATGTCCTCCCAATCACAGCGGCCTTTTACCACGTGATCAGGTGTGTCCAATGACACAGCAGATCACCAGGTAAATACAGTTGCCGGTTATCGGCTGCACTTTCCTCAAAATGTCACAGCGTGAGGAAAGTACTGCCAATAATCGGCAATTGTCAGAGAACAGATCGACACTGATCATCAGTGCCGCCCACCAATGCCACTCACCTGTTCCCATCAGTGCCCAACAGTACCGCCCATCAGTGCAGCCTCATCAACGCACATCAGTTAAGGAGAAAAATTACCTGTTTGTCTCTATTATAAAATTTTGCAAAGAACTTTTTTTTTTTGCTCATTTTTTGTTTATAGTGCAAAAAATAAAAAACACCCAGAGGTGATTAAATACCACCAAAAGAAAGCTCTAATTTTTGTGAAAAAGATAAAAATTTCATATGGGTACAATATTGCATGACCACGCAATTGTCATTCAAAGTGCGACAGCCCATAAAGCTGAAAATTGGCCTGGGCAGGAAGGGGGCATAAGTGCCCGGTAGGCAAGTGGTTAAAGGCAGGAGAGAAACAATGTTTACAGTGAGCTATCGCTAAATGTCACTTCCGGTTTTTAAATGTAAATACCGGTGCTTTTTTTTCCTTCACTATAGCTCCAAGAAGTAACAGTGACATTACCCAGTGACCCCGCCCCTTTGTTTCCTTTAGCGGCGCGGAGAATTTCAGCTCCTTCTTAGAGCTATAGTGAAGGAAAAAAAAAAATTACATTTAAAAACTGGCATTGACATATAGCAGCAGCCAGTGAGGGAGCCTGAGTGTATACACTGCTCCCTCACTGGATACACTGCTCCTCTCCTGCCCACTCCTTGCACACACTGACGCCGCCCCCCCTTACAAAGAGGACCTGTCACTCATATACTATCACATACAGGACTATTGGTCCCCTACGTGATAGCAATAAAATCATAAGTATCGGCACCAGAATTTTCATCTCAGTGTGTTTTTTTTTTTTTTTTTTGGAGTATGTAACCAACCCAGTGCCTCCAACGGGTTAAAGCATGAGACAGCTAGATTTAAGACAGGAAAAGAACATCAGAAAAAAATGGTCTATTATAATAAAAGCACTGATAAGAAGTTGAGTTGACAGCAACAGCAGACTTTATAAGATGCAGAAAATTTCACATATACTAAAGGATTACCGTATTTTTCGCTCCATAAGACGCACTTTTTTTTCCCCCAAAAAAAGGGGGGGAAATGTCAGTGCGTCTTATGGAGCGAATATAAAGCGGCCGGTCCGGTATTTCTGCTGCCACCATGTCAGAACACCAGGCCGGCCGCTCAGCTGTTCTCTCCTGCAGGGCCTTACCTGTTCCTCGCTCTAGCGCTGCACAGTTTCCCACACTGTCTTCTGTGACAGCCGGGTGCCCACTGCGCATGTGCTGCGCTTTGTGAATGATCCGGTGTCTTCTGGGACACGACAGGTCCCAGAAAGGGCGCCGGGCCATTCACAAAGCACAGCGCTTCTCGCGCATGCGCAGTGGGCACCCGGCTGTCACAGAAGCCGGCCCGGGAAGAAGAGGGAAGGAGAACTCCGCGGAAGTGGGAGCGGGTACCTGTCAAATTCAGGTACCCGCTCCCCCTCCCTCCCCTGCACTGTCCGCAGTCTCTGGTCATCCCCTGCACTGTGTCCGCAGTCTCTGGTCATCTCCTGCACTGTGTCCGCAGTCTCTGGTCATCTCCTGCACTGTGTCCGCAGTCTCTGGTCATCTCCTGCACTGTGTCCGCAGTCTCTGGTCATCTCCTGCACTGTGTCCGCAGTCTCTGGTCATCTCCTGCACTGTGTCCGCAGTCTCTGGTCATCTCCTGCACTGTGTCCGCAGTCTCTGGTCATCTCCTGCACTGTGTCCGCAGTCTCTGGTCATCTCCTGCACTGTGTCCGCAGTCTCTGGTCATCTCCTGCACTGTGTCCGCAGTCTCTGGTCATCTCCTGCACTGTGTCCGCAGTCTCTGGTCATCTCCTGCACTGTGTCCGCAGTCTCTGGTCATCTCCTGCACTGTGTCCGCAGTCTCTGGTCATCTCCTGCACTGTGTCCGCAGTCTCTGGTCATCTCCTGCACTGTGTCCGCAGTCTCTGGTCATCTCCTGCACTGTGTCCGCAGTTCTGGTCATCTCCTGCACTGTGTCCGCAGTCTCTGGTCATCTCCTGCACTGTGTCCGCAGTCTCTGGTCATCTCCTGTATTGTGTCCGAAGTCTCTGGTCATCTCCTGTACTGTGTCTGCAGTCTCAGGTCATCTCCTGTACTGTGTCTGCAGTCCATTGGTTCAGAATATTTTTTTGTCTTGTTTTTCGCCTGTAAAACCTAGGTGCGTCTTATGGTCAGGTGCGTCTTATGGAGCGAAAAATACGGTATATCATTTTCAAACTATTTCTTTTATGATTTTTTACGAAACAAAATGTGCCATGTCAGCAAAAGAAGTAAACAGAAGGGAGATGGAGACTGAGAAGTATATGCATATTTATGACCAGCATGATACAGTGGGGAAAATAATTATTTGATCCCCTGCAGATTTTGTACGTTTGCCATCTTACAAAAAAAGAAGGGTCTATATTATTTTATCATAGGTGTATTTTAAATGATAGAGACAGAATATCAACCAAAACTCCAGAAAAAAACACGATACAAATGTTATTATACTCACTGAACTGCAACTCAATTTATAAGTAATTGATCCCCTACCAACTAGCAATAATTCTGGCTCCCAGACTGGCTGTGTGCTTATGTGGTACACAGATAAGTCCTGTCAATTTAAGAAGGTGCTTCTTACGACAACTTATCTATAAAAGACACCTGTTCACAGAATCTCTTTCTTGGGCATCCCCATGGTCAAGACCAAAGAACTGTCAAAGGACGTCAGGGCCAAGACTGTAGACCTGGACATATGGCAATGTAGCCTTTGAGAAACGTGGCAGCTTTTACGGATTCCCTATTTTCCACTGTGTGCCAATAAAGTAATTATGAAGCAGATATGAGTTGCCAGCTACTTTGTCATATATCTTGGATTTAAAAACCAGCACCCCACTCACATCTATCTGATGAGCAGTAGAGCTTGGGTGAACTGTTGTCTCGAAGACTGTAGACCTGCACAAAGCTGAAATGGGCTACAACTGTTGGAGCGATTATTCCGAAATGGAAGAAATACAAAATAAAAATCAATCGCTCTCAGTCTGGAGCTCCATGCTAGAATTCGCCTCATGGGGTAAGGATAATCAAGAGAAAAGTGAGGGATCAGCCCAGAACTGCATGGGAGCAGCTTGTAAATTATTTCAAGGCAGTTGAGGCCAAGCAACAGCTAAGAAACCTTAAGGATTTAGAGAAGATCTGTAAAGAAGAGTGGACCAAAACCCCTCCTGAGATGTGTGCAAACCTGGTAACCAACTACAAGAAATGTCTTACCTCAGTATTTGGTGGAGAAACCCTTGTTGGCAAGCACAAAGTCATCAAAGACGAATTCTCCTGCGTTCTAGGACCCAGACAGGTGGCGAATGGATGGAACCAGACCTGGAAAAATCGTCCACCAATGCATAAAGGGTTGTGTGGCTCCAAAACAAGGCTGGAGAAGCCCGACCAATACTGCAGAATGAAATGAAAACGAGAAGCGCACCAACCTTGCGCATTACCTCAGTAACCAAAATTTATTAATTGAGCTCTGATGAAGAAGGGACACCCTTTGAAACGTGTCAGCTGTACTGAATACCCATCCCCTTGATGGGATTCGCGCTATCTTCAAGTCCCTTTGAGGACTTACATGCCTGATTTCATTTGCTGTTTGTGAGTATATTTTTTACAATTAATAAATTTTGGTTACTGAGGTAATGCGCAAGGTTGGTGCGCTTCTCATTTTCATTTCATTCTGAAGCAAAGAGTCATGTTTTGCTTGGGGATCAAATACTTATGTTACTCACCGAAATGTAACTCAATTTGTAACATTTGTATTGTGTTTTTTTTCTGGTCGATCTTCTGTCTCGATCAATTAAAATACACATACAGTGGATATAAAATGTCTACACACCTCTGTTAAAATGTCAGGTTTATGTGATGTAAAAAAATGACAAAAATCACTTCAGAACTTTTTCCACTTTTAATGTAACCTACAAACTGTACAACTCAGTAGAACAAATTGAAATCTTAGGTGGAGGGAAGTAAAAGTAAAAAAACTAAAATAATATGGTTGCAGACGTGTGCACACCCTTAAAATAATACTTTGTTGAAGTACCTTTTGATTTTATTACAGCACTTTTTGGGTATGAGTCTACCAGCATGGCACATCTTGACTTGGCAATATTGCCCACTCTTCCTTGCAAAAACATTCCAAATCTGTCAGATTGCGAGAGCAGCTCCTGTGCACAGCCCTCTTCAGAGAACCCCACAGATTTTTTTGATCGGATTCAAGTCTGGGCTCTGGTTGGGCAATTCCAAAACTAATATTCTTTTGGTGAAGCCATTCCTTTGTTGATTTGGATGTATATTTTGGGTCGTTGTCATGCTGAAAGATGAAGTTCCTCTTCATGTTCAACTTTCTAGCAGAAGCCTGAAGTTTTTGTACCAATAGTGACTGATATTTGGAACTGTTCATAATTCCCTCTACCTTGACTAAGGCCCCAGTTCCAACTAAAGAAAAACAACCCCAAAGCATGATGTGCCACCACCATGCTTCACTGTGGATATGGTGTTCTTTTGGTGATGTGAAGGGTTGTTTTAGCGCCAAACATATCTTTTGGAATTATGGCCAAAAAGTTCAACCTTGTTTTCATCAGACCATAACATTTTCCCACATGGTTTTTGGAGACTTCAGATGTGTTTTTGCAAAATTTAGCCAGTCTTGGATTTAAAAGGCGTCCGTCTTGCCACTCTACCTCATAGCCCAGGCATATGAAGAATACGAGAGATTGTTGTCACATGTAACACACTGCCAGTACTTGCCAGATATTCCCTGCAGCTCCTTTAATGTTGCTGTAGGCCTCTTGGCAGGCTCCCAGAACATATTTCTTCTAGTCTTTTCATCAATTTTGGAGGGACGTCCAGTTCTTGGTAATGTCACTGTTGTGCCATATTTTCGCCACTTGACAATGACTGTTTTCACTGTGTTCTACGGTATATCTAATGCTTTGGAAATTCTTTTGTAACCTTCTCCTTACGGATACCTTTGAACAATGAGATCCTTCTGATGCTTTGGAAGCTCTCTGCAGACCATGGCTTTTGCTGTAGGAGGTGACTAAGAAAATGTCAGGAAAGACCTACTAGAACAGCTGAACTTTATTTGGGGTTAATCAGAGCCACTTTAAACGATGGCAGGGGTGTACCGACTCAGATTTAACATGATTTTGAATGTGATAGCTTAATTCTGAACATAGCTACATCCCCAGTTAGAGGGTGTGCACACCACATTATTTTAGTTTTTTTATGTTTACTTCCCCCCCTAAAAGATTTCAGTTTGTTTTTCAATTGAGTTGTACAGTTTATAGGACACATTGAAAGGTGGAAAAAGTTCTGAAATGATTGATCATTGTCTAATTTTTTTTACATCACAGAAACCTGACATTTTAACAGGGGTGTGTAGACTTATATCCACTGTATGACGACAATTATAGACCCTTCATCTCTTTGTAATTGAACAAACTTTCAAAATCTGCAGGGGGATCAAACAGTTATTTTCCCCACTGTAAATTATCAAAATATTATTACAATTTCCGCATGAATACAAACAGCTGCAATTACTAAGCTGAACTGTTAAAAGAAAAAGGAAAAAAAAAACAAAATACTTAAAAATATATAATTATATAATATATAAGGTCTTAATTTGGGTAGCCTACTTCATAAGCTATTCCGATATCGCCCACCTAAAACTGTCAGTGACAAGTCCTTCCATCTACTCTGAATTGTCATGTTCTGCAATGCGTTTTTCTTTTGGTTGCCTGGCAACCTTATTAGAGTGCTAAAGTGTAACTTGTGTCCACAACCCAGTTACAGGGAGCTTGCTTGAGAGTGTCAAAAACACGAAAAGATGCACTTGTGTGTGAATATGTACAGTGAATATATAGATCACAAACAAAAAGAATGCAGGCTAAACAGGTCTGTGCAGCCATCTTAGCTTTGTTGTCAACACAAGGATTGTTAAACAGTCTGCTGCACACAACCACAGGCTAAACACAATCCTAAAAAGCAAAGCTTAAGAAGTGATGTATTTAGTAAGCACAACTTGACATGTATAGTAAGTGGATTACTGCTGACTTAAGGACTCCTAACAGGCCATTGTTTAGTGTAAAACAAGGTTAGCCTTCCCCCTTACTCACCTTTAGGACCTTTAACCAGCTTTATTTCCATTATTTTCTCTGTGATCGGCTTTCTTCTTCTGACATATAATCGTACAATGGATCCTGCCTCTTTTAATGCCTCAACGGCTTTGCTGTGTGTCACATCATGTACATCCACATCATTCACCCGTAATATACAGTCATTAACCCTGAGGAGACAGCAATGTATATTTTAAAGGTAAGTAGTGGTTTAATTCAGGGAAAAGATAACCTACAGTTTACACCAATGACATGTCAAATGGAAAAGTGCACATGATTTATAATATAAATGTTTTCTACACCAGATACTGTGCATTTTAATTTAAAACAATGTCTTAGACACAAAAGGTACAAAACACAATTCTACAGACATGCCTACAACGTGAACAAAGTTATTCTCAGACACTGATCATCCAATGCCGATACCTCATCTGACAAGTTACACATGGTCATCTCATAAATAGCTTACGTCCTTGTTTCCAACCCTTTGTTCCCCAGGATAGTAAGATCATATAGGCAAAGCCTTCTGTCCTATATTGTTTAGTGTACTTTCTAGCAGAAAACTGTATTAAATGGTCTTCTGAATATGTTAGGCACTAACAAAAGTCTTCAAAATATTACTTTGTATACATTACATTATTATATCAAGCGAGATAAATGGTGCCAAACAATATGCCACTGAACCTTTCCTCAGAGTAAAGCAGTTCATAGATGGATCAAATCTCAGCCGGTTCAGCAGGGACTAGCCAAGATTTGATCCATCCATTAACAGACTGGTTGTACTGAAGTCGATCCACAGATCGACATGAGTAAAACTAACCTGTCAAGTTTTTTTTTTTTTTTTTTTTTTTTAATGCGATTACCCAGCCGAGAAGCTTGCCCTGCCCACTAGCAGAACACAGCGCTATGGCAGGGATTCTTCCATCAACACTGACTGTGTTCATGGGGAAATCAAGCAATTTTCTACAGGTGGAAGGAAAGAAAATTGCATAATCTATGAGCTACTGAACAGAAAAGCTTTTAATAAAGCCATTTATGAGGCAGATTCCAGGAACAAAATTTAATTTTGTGCATCTAAACCCAAAAACACAAAATGTATTATATGGCAGTTTGCCAACCCCTAGGACTGGTTCACATGTGAATTGCACAGGAACAAGGTCTGCGTTCCTGAGTGGCTTAGTATGCTGCAATTTTCAGAACGTTCATTTGAATAGGCTGAAATTGCACCGGATAGTGGTACCATGCAATCTGGTACAGGGAAACACATTGCAATTGCAATCTGTGATGGGGTGTCATTAGGACTATACTGACAACTACACTTCCTGTATTTAAGAAGGCAGCCATGGTTGCCATTCAGGCTGTACTTCAACATGTTTGCCCTTACTCATCACCATTACGCAGGGGGTAGGGGCCTGAAGTGTACAGAAGATAGATGATATTTTATACTTCCAGGTGACCTCATAGTAAGTGACAAGGACACTGCATTTCCAGCAATATCAAGAGGCAGTTTCAATACTTGCTGAAAATGCACTTGTCCTAAATTAATTAATGCAACCACCACATCCAGTGACTGCAAGCTACCAGTCAGCTGCAATAGAACAACATTTTTGACTTGCCATAAAAACATGTTCATGCGATACATTATGGCTCACAGAATGAGTATTTAAGTCCGTTGGGTTATGCTGTTGCCTTGAGGACATTGGACACTATCAAAACAAAGCTGTAAGGTCAGCCTAGTATAATTCCTCCCACTTCCATCATGCTCATGCAAGTAACAGTAGGAGTGGATAACAGAGGGGAAGGGACCTGTGTCCCATAATGCCCCAAAAACGTTTTACAGTAAGTAAAAAATTCCCATCATATATTAACAGAGATGGTTCAGAAGACCTTACAGAGCTACCTGAAGAACCTTACGACTGAAATCCAAATCAGCAGAGGCCATAACGTCCACCTGGTGGACTCCAACAAAAGAATGAACAGAAGAATAGGTGGCAGTCTTGCAAATTTGAGAAACAGATGCCTGGTGCAGAAAAGGCCAAAAAATACTTGACCAATTTGTTTGGAGTGCGCCCTAACAGGGAAGGGGGAACACTTAAGTCACAAGTTTTGAGGGATAAGCAGTGAAATCCACTTAGCATCTTTAGGATATTTAAAAGCAGCACAGAGAAGATAGAACAATGTTCTGGTTCAAGTGGCGGGAAGGAAACACCTTGAAAAGAGAAGAGGCCTTGGAATAACTCTGATGGTTTTAGAAGTTCTAAAACCCCTCCCTTGCAGTAGGGCCACTCCCACACTGCAGGTGTTCACTGCTTATGTCTAGGGGACAGAAAAGCAGTTTAGCTTACTTGATCCTCCACAACTGACTGTCCCTCCGTGTCCTCACATCCAATGTATAGCTATAGTCCGTGTTGGTCCCGATGATGGCAAAAGGTCTTAGCCTGCGAAGTATAGGTAAGAAGAGGCTGTGGGGACTGTGATTGGGCATCAGCAAAATGCATAGCCAACCTCCAGTTTGCTTATTTACAGTTTTTCGTATCTTTTCATTTCTGCAAAAAGGCACGATTGAAAATGTACAAACATTTGTTATTTATTAAAGCATTAAAGTTTTAGCGTTTAGATTTAGTGGGTTTTTAGCAGGAATTCTTTAAGCTATGTTGTGTCTGTGTCTGCTAATGATGATCTTAGGGCATTTTTAATGAAAAAATAGTTCTGATAAATATTAGCGCAACTACTGCAGAACCTACAAAGTCAGTAGCACCTTCTTATTCTACCAGTTGTATGCTTTCAGAAAATGTATGGTTGGGTTGGGGGGTTCTTCACAAACTCCAAAAACTAAGTTAAAATGATAACCTGCAGCTTTTTAGAGTCACTATACAGCTTTGTTCACCTTCCATTTTCAACATTTTGCAAAATAAGCTCAACTTAAAATGTACTACTTGTTTTTTTTTTTTAACGTTATGCCATTTTATCTTTTAGATTTAGTGTGACATTTGTTGTGTTCATGTCTATCAACAACAATTTTAGGGTATATTTAGCAAAAATTTCATTTCAGTAAACATTTACCCAACTAATCGCAGGACCCAAAAACCAGTAGCACCATCTTTTTATTCTAACAGTCCTATGCTTTAAAAACAAAATATATGGTTTGGGAGGTGTTTTACAAACTTTGAATGCTGTAAGCAAAAAATAAAAAACAAGGGAAACGTTGCAAAATGCTCTGACCACCTGAATTTAAAAGAAATGCAGGGGATGGCAGCAATAGGACTAAAAACAGTCAGGCCTTATGAACATTTCATCTGTAACATACAAGCAAATGGATATCCAGGAAAGCTAAAGGTTACCTGGATTTTGAGACAAACTTGCTCAATTTGTTGTTGGACCAGAAAGTCCACATCTGGCATCCCAAGAGATCTTGAAACAATTCAGGATGAAGAGGCCATTTTCTGTAATCCAGATGCTGAAAACTGATTATTAAGTCCACTGGCCAGTTTTTCACGCCTCAAATGTGCACAGCGGTCAGGGTTGGAATATTATGCTCTGCTGAAGCCAAATATCAGTTCTGTTTCTTTTTGTGCTGCGAGACTTTGGGTTCCTCCCAGATAGTGGATTTAAGCCACTACTAGCACTTTGACTAAATCCTGGCCAAATGCCTCTATAGAGAAGATGTCCAGGACCAGTGCTGAAGGGATAGCTAAATTACCCCAAGTTCCAAAATACTGATCAGGAGACAAGTCTCAACCAATGAACAAGCACCTTATACTGAGGGCGTACCTAGGATTCCTCCCCTGCCTTAAATGTGGATATCAGTCCTGAGAACCTTCCAGACTACTAGGAGGAAGGGTTTTACTAATTCCAGCATTGATCTCTTTGACACACCACACCAGGGCAAGCCTGGCCATGTTGGTCAGGTATATGGGATGATCCAGGGATTTGTGTTCCAAGCTACCAGTATGTTAAGCTTCAACAGTCTATAGTGAAACTGATCAACAGGGAACACCATTAAGCCCAAGACTATCATGTAAACAATAGAGGGACAGTTGGATCCTGGAGAGTCCAAACATAGGAACAATGAGCTAATCTCTAAACAGACAGTTTCAGAGCTCACTGCTGGAGATTTAGCATCCCCCTGAATCTCTGTAGGGCATGTATGGTCCACGGAACCAAATCAACTATTCTTCAGAAGAATGCTGGGCAGATAGCCCACTATAGGGATGCCCTGAGAGCGAAGCAGAGCAAGCAGCACCCTGGTGAACAGCTGAAGAAAAGTAGAAAGGTCAAAGCCAAAAGGCAACAAATTGTGAATGTTGTGTGCCCATATCAAAATGCAAGTAGTGAAGATGTGCAGGGGAAAAAGGAATTAAGCAAGAAAGCATCCTTAATGTCCATAGAGGTCAGAAGGTCTTCAGGATAGAGACACAGTGACTAAACAGGAGGATTCCATGCAGGATTTTGGAACCATGTGTTGAGAACCTTTAAAATCTATGAGAAAGTGAACAGGTTTAAACAAATGTTGAAACCTCTCCTTTTCTGAGGAAATGGCCATAATCCCTTGAGGAAGTAGCTGTGATAGAGCAGTGTGAAGGCCCATCAATCTTAGTGGGATATCAGCAAGTTTGACATGAAATGTAGCTGAAGCAGAAACCAAATGTCCAGTTTGTAGTCCCTGGATACAATGATCTTGACCCAATTGTCTCAAATGTCCTAGGACTAAATGACTCTGAAGGTCAGACATACCCCACTATGACAAGGGGGTACGCAGCCATTGTGAGGAGGATTTGCTTGTAAACAGACTTCGGAATCTAGAGGCTTTGCCTTGGACCTGGAGGCCTGAGAGAAATGAAAGCAATTCTTTTTAGCCTCACAAGCAAAGGGTTTCCCAGATCAGGATTTTGACTTCTCTACTGGGGCAAAAGTGTACACTTTCGTCTGGTGAGTTCCTTTGTGAATTTGCCAAGGATAACATAACAAAGGCATACCCAAGAGCCATTTCTTGTACTGATGCTTCGCAGACCAACATTTGGGCCAAAGGGTCTTTTGCATATGCACTGAAAGGAGGAAAATAGTGGATACCTTGCAAATGGTATTATACACAAGACGGTATCTTTATAAAGTATATATTAAAAGGGGATCTAAAAAAGGTCACAAAAAAGGTTTTAAAAAAATGACAAAC